ACAACGAAGAAAGCATTATTTATAAAACCAACATGGAAGAAGTAGAGTTTCGTGAGAACAAGGAGAAGAACACCAACAGTCTTCTAAATTTCTTCAACTCGAGGAAACAAATACTTCCTAAACCAAAGTAGACCGATTTTGAAGAACTTGTATAAGACTTGAAATCAAGTTTTATGCTTGTTTTTCAGAATATTATGAATAGGACTTTACAAATAAACCTTTTGAATGAGATGGTTTTTGTTCTTAACGCACAGCGCAGTAGTAGTGAAGCGTACCAAAAAATACAAAATGAATTATAAATCCATCTGTCGCACACACACACACACACACACTTCCTTTTCCCCGGGACTTTGAACAGTTTTCCGTTACTGAATATAAAATCATCGGACTCAATCAGATCACCTGACTCGCCGCTCTGGTGATCGAGACATTGTCATCCTGCCCCAGGTGTTGTGGAGGTCTTTCATAAAACAACAGAAATCATGGTAATAACGATCACCATGGGAGCCGACTATCTCTTCCGATACTTTCTCTCCACCCCACTGAACGTCACGACAACGACACGACCACAAGTGCGAACCTCCCCCGACTCTTTTGTGAAACTCAGATTATTATTATTAGGCCCATTTATTTCATTGGCCTATGATTTTTTCCGCCAAACTGACATATATCATGCACTACGTTATAAGTATATAAAAAAAGTTTCAGTTTCTAAATAACGGGATGAATGTCGGACTTTGGCGGGTAAATTGTGGATTAGAAGGAAAGTTAATACAAATATATAATAGTATATTGAACTTATTATAAATTAAAAATCAACTGCATATCGTCATATAAAATTTTGTAACATGTTAATGGCCAAGTTGTTTAGAATGCTTGGATAGCAACGAAAACATCTCCAAATCCAACTTACTTTCAGGTTTCGTAGCAGATTAAGTTACGTAGGACAACTTCACAACAGCACTGTTCCAAACTTTACAAGCTTCACAACAGCACTGCTACAAGCGTCACAACTTCACAACAGCACTGCTACAAGCTTCACAACAGCACTGTTACAAGGCTTCACAACAGCACTGTTACAAGGCTTCACAACTTTACAACAGCACTGTTACAAGCTTCACATCTTTTGTAGTATTTCGACTCAAACATTTTTGCCTGTTTACTAAGAGTTATTATAACAGCTCAACCCTAATTAATATCCAACTTTCACAGAATATTTCATATATATATATATATCGAGATGAAACTCTCTGTTAACCAAACGAGTATTTTTCAATGACGCAATAAAAAATGTTGATGGTCTATCTGCGCTTTTTCCACCACGGGTATCGAAACCCGGCATTTGGCGATGTAAGCACGGAGACTTACCGCCGAGCCACTAGGAAGGATTAAAATGTGTAAAACAAATTTAAATTGTATATAAAGTTTACACAATCAATTCGCATGAGTTGTGCGCTCAATTTTATCTTCAATGGCAAACTAAGCCTATATCTAACTCAACTCTTACGCTAACCTTCGAATGTATAAGAGGCGCATAGTAAGCACCGAAGTTAACAAAGGTAACAAACCTTCATTATCAGCTGTAATGACCGTAACACACCTGGCTTAGACCAGTAGCCTAGTTGTTTCAATTTACATCTACAGACTTTGTATGATGTCGCATTAACTTCCATGCTGAAGGTTAAAACGGTAACTATCCCGTACCACTCAACCGGTCAAGTTCATTGTTAAGTAACATTCCCTAAAATTGGCGGAGAGTCAAATGGTTGTCGGGTACGGCACAGAATCCGTTGCATCTGGTTCCGGTAGTACAGGCAGCGAGTGCGTCTGGCAGAAAGTAAAATTTCCCAGCAGTAAAAACGAGAAACAGGTGATAGTTTTGACGTTACTGAAAAGAAAAATTCATGTTGCAGAATTGCAAATATATTACCAAAACCTGGCGAGTGAACAAGAAGTTTAATCAACCACAGTTAACCTGAGGAAAAAATAAAAAAAATCAGTCGACTTAACGAATCATTACCCTCATATACTTAATATTCTTATTTAAAATATATTATCACCTTGAACGTTAGTTACATCGTATCATGTTCATATCTCCCCCACCCCTTGATGGCTCAGTGGTAAGTCTGAAGTATTTAAAATATATTATCACCTTGAACGTTAGTTACATCGTATCATGTTCATATCTCCCCCACCCCTTGATGGCTCAGTGGTAAGTCTGAAGTATTTAAAATATATTATCACCTCGAACGTTAGTTACATCGTATCATGTTCATATCTCCCCCACCCCTTGATGGCTCAGTGGTAAGTCTGAAGTATTTAAAATATATTATCACCTCGAACGTTAGTTACAT